GGTCACCAGTGGGTTTCCGTGGCCACCCCCAGGTCTCCAGTGGGTTCCCAATGAGTCCCCTGTGCCACCCCAGGGTCACCAGTGGCTCCCCCTGTGTCACCGAGGTCACCACCATGTTACCCTCTGTCCCTCACGGGTCCCCACGGCCACCCCTGGGTCACCGCTGTGTCCCCAGCAGGTCCCCGTGCCCCCCCCAGTGTCCCCAGACATTCCCTCCTTGTTCCTGCCACTGTGTCCCCCCCCCGTCCCGATGTTCCCCCTGTCCCCACGCCCCACCCCCCCCTGCAGTCGCCCATGTCCCCTGTCCCCGCAGGTGGCTGGTGTCCCACAATCCCCGTCCCTCCTGTCCCGCTCCCTCCGTGCCAACATCACGCTGGGCTGGGGACATGGGGAGGGGACGCAGGTGACACAGGTGACACAGGTGACACAGGTGACGGCGGCGGCGAGGCGGGTGGGAGTGCACGCCTGGGCCACGCAGCTGCCACATGGCTACGACACAGGTAAGGCACGGGTATCCCCCCCGGTGTCCCTGCCACGTCCCTGTGGTGTCCCCAGGGTGTCCCTGTAATGTCCTCTCACCGTCCCCAAGGTTGTCCCTGTGACGTCCCCAAAGCCTCCTCACCACATCCCACTCTGTTCTCTCCCGTCCCTGTTCCCTTCCTGTCCCCATGGTGTCCCCTCACCATCCCCGCAGTGTCCCCAGTGTGTCCCCACTGTGTCCCCATAACATCCCCTCATCATCCCTGTAGTGTCCCCTCATCGTCCCCACACTGTCCCCACGGTGTCCCTTCCCTGCCCCCTCCCTGTCTCCAAAGGTGGGTGCAGCTCCCTGGCATGTCCCCAGTGTGTCCCAAGTGTGTCCCCAATGTCCCCTCTGTCCCCAAAAGTGAGGATGTGGGGGGTGCATCCCCACAGCATGTCCCCAGCATGTCCCCACTGTGTCCCCATAACGTCCCCTCATCATCCCTGTAGTGCCCCTTCATCATCCCCACACTGTCCCCTCGTTGTTTCCTCGCTGCCCCCTCCCTGTCCCCAAAGGTGGGTGTAGGGTGGGTGCCCCTCCCTGGTGTGTCCCCAGCGTGTCCCCTGTGTCCCCAGAGGTGGGCCCGCGGGGGATGCAGCTCTCGGGGGGGGGGCAGGCGCAGGGGGTGGCGCTGGCCCGGGCCCTGCTCAGGACCCCCCGCCTGCTGGTGCTGGACGAGCCCACGCGGGCGCTCGACCCCGTGACCCGGTGCCAGGTGAGTCACAGCGCTGTCCCCTTGTCCCCTGGGTCCCCATGTCCCCCTGGATCGCTGTGTCCCCCTATCCCCTGGGTCCCCATGTCCCCCTGGATTGCTGTGTCCCTCTGTCCCCTGGGTCCCCACTCCCCAGATCCCCACCTGTGCCCCCCCACCCTGGGGTCCCCCCACTGCCCCTGAGCTCCCCCCGTGTTCCCTGACCCCACCGTGTCCCCCGTGTCCCCTGACCCCGCCGTGCCCCTGTGTCCCCCCGTGTCCCCTGACCACCTCATGTCCCCGCCATTTCCCCCGTGTCCCCCCATGTCCCCCCGTGTCCCCCCGTGTCCCCTGACTCCCCTATGTCCCCCCCTGTCCCCCTGTGTCCCCTGACCTGCCGTGTCCCCGCAGGTGGAGCAGGAGCTGCTGCGCCCCGGCGGGCCCGGGGCCGGGGAGGGGCCGGCGGTGCTGTTGGTGACAGGGCAGGTGGCCCTGGCCCGGCGGGCACCCAGGGTGGCCCTGCTGGAGGGGGGGCGGCTGCGGGAGCTGGGGGGGCCCGGGGAGCTGGGGACAACCCCCTGGGACACTGCAGGGGACAGCGGGGACACCGGAGACAGGGAGGGGGGACACTGGAGACACCAGAGATGGGGAGGGGGACACTGGGGACACCGGGGATGAGGAGGGGGACATTGGGGACACCGGGGATGGGGAGGAGGACGCTGGGGACACTGAGGACAGGGAGGAGGACGCTGGGGACATTGGGGATACCGGGGATGAGGAGAGGGACACTGGGGACACCGGGGACAGGGATGGGGACACTGGTGACACACAGTGACCCACGTGTGAAATCGATCAATAAATCAACGAATCGATAAATCAGCGGATCAATCGACAAACGGAGCGGGGGCGGAACCGGGACCCCCGTTCCTCCCCCCGCAATGGGGCCCCTCCCCCCTTCCCCCCCCAGCTGGGCCCCCCCCACGCCCCTCCCCCCCTCAATGAGCTCATCGTGTTGATGGAGAAAATTCCTTGGCGGGGGCGGGGGGGACACGGGAGGGGACGAGGGTGGACACGGGGG